CTAAAGCCGGACAGAATAGCAATTATTCTACAGGCTAGTTTCAATAAATAATTCACAGAGAAGAATACAAGAGAATCACCCAAAAAGAACTGACTAAGCAGCCACAATTTTTATAAAATTAGAATAATGATAGTTAACCCTAAAACACATGAAAACATTCTTTAAATACTAAACAATAAGGTGAAAACCCTAATTACGCAAGGAATAATTAAATTACGAAAAAATCCAAATAAACTCAAAATTGGGAAAAAACTTCGGAAGGCCCAAACACACGTTTCCAGGCCTTTTTTGGCTTTAAACTATGCCTCTCATTGCCATAGGCTATGAATCTTGTAGGGCTCGTCGAGAGCTTCGGTTTGATATATTATGGGTCCTGAAACTCCAAACGGATCAAAAGTTATGATCAAAACAGTGTCAACCCTTCTTAGACTTGGATTTCTAACTATGCTAATCTTCTAAGTCAAGGTATCTCAGCGCCATCAACGTGCCATCTGATAACTCAGCATCATCTGACTCAGATCCTCCTGCATCAGATTCTTTTAAGATTGAACAATCTTTTTCTTTGTTTTGGTCTTTGTTACTTATTGATTCAGTTGGTTTCTTTCTCTATAACTTCTGCAAGCAGACCTGCAATGTTCATATAATATATTTTTAATCAAGAATTGTGATGTGATCTGGGTTATTGATTTTTGTCAGTTTTTCTCTCTTTAAAAACTGCAATTTGACTACCCAGACAATTACAATGAGGGATTAAGTCGTATACATAGACTAAGTAATATAAGAATTGAATGAAATGGAGATGTATGCATTACTCAGATACATATCTGGTTTGGGTTAACTTACATATCAAGTTGAAATTGTGTATTTTCTCAGAAAGAAAGTTGAAAATTATGGGTTTAATCGCTTGAATGTTGATTTGGGTTTTTGGGTTAAGTGGTAACTCTCTTTGAATTTTAGCACAAGGTTCATAGTTAGTCCCTTCTAAGTTAAAAGCTTAAATGACATGGTGACAAAAAAGAACAAACCTCTGTGATAAAGGGCCATTATGCAGTTTGGCATTGTGGTTCTATCCAAGTGGTGAAGTGTCACCTTTGGCAACTTGGACAAACAAGATTTGGATTGCTTAACAAATTGCCCCATTGTTGTGCATGAAAAAAATGGATAGATTGGGTTCTTTAACTTGACCGTTGATGAAGAATCCCACGGTTGTTAAGCCAACTTTTTTAACAATACACCCAGTAAAGTGTCTTTTATGATAGTAAATTCAATTTAAATATCATAAAGGATTAGAATTTCCACTTGATTTTAACATTTATAATTTTCATTGTTGTGATACTCAAGCAAATTGACAAACGACAATAGTATCCTATTATTTATCATTCTAGGTTTCGTCTATTGTGGAATGTGGATGAGAATGGAGGGCTAATTCACTAAAAGTTATACCCTAATTTGAGAAGTACATTTTGAAGATATTCTAAAGTTGTTCAATCTAGAAATTTGATTCCTACTTCCTTATAACAAAACTAGAAAAAAAGAATCCAACAAATATTCAGAGTACAAAAGACAAACATTTCAAAGTCAGTTTTGAAAACTGATCAAAAATCTGATAGCACAAAGTGTCGGTGCAAATGAAGGTAATTGCTTATATTTTTAGCCTTTAGATGTGTAGAATTAGACTTGAACCTCGGAAAAGTGTTCTATAATCATGTTTGCATCTATTTGGGAACGAGAGAATACCAAATGGATCTGATTAACAGAGGAGTATGGTGTGTACTTGTGCTGTGAGTATATTTGATCTTTCCATTTGACACTTACTTTCTTTGGCCCTCTGTCTTACTTTCTTCTGTTCTATGTCTCTGAGTTTTGTTACTAATTCAATCTGCACCCCCTGTTTCAGCAAGTACTGTATTGTAAATGAGTATAACTAAGGGTCTGGTTTACGTCTTGAGAATAGATCCTTAACAAGCATTTCAGAAGCATGATTAGGAAGAAAAGGAACTGAAATGTGATTTGTCATATGGTGGACTGCGGAGACACCATGCATGGTGGTGATGAAGGGAGTAGGGACATGGTCACCGTTGTCAATGAGGCATTTGATAGAGATGGAAGGGGTGGTACTTCTCCTAAATGAGACATTGCAGCTATTGAAGGGGATACCGATTTTGAGCCACATGACGGTATTGAATTTGAATCACATGAGGCTGCATATTCATTTTATCAAGAGTATGCCAAGTCTATGGGATTCACTACCTCAATAAAAAACAGCCGTCGTTCAAAGAAATCAAAAGAATTTATTGATGCTAAGTTCGCATGCTCCAGGTATGGAGTCACACCAGAATCAGATAGTGGCAGTAGTCAACGTCCAAGTGTGAAAAAAACTGACTGCAAAGCCAGCATGCATGTGAAGAGAAAGCAAGACGGAAAGTCTTACATTCATGAATTTCTGAAGGAGCATAACCATGAGCTTTTACCAGCGCTAGCATATCATTTTCGGATTCATAGGAATGTAAAATTAGCAGAAAAGAATAATATCGACATTCTGCATGCTGTAAGTGAACGAACAAGAAAGATGTTTGTTGAGATGTCCAGACAATCTGGTGGCAATCGAAGTGTTACCTTTCTTAGGAATGACTTGAATTATCAGTTTGATAGAGGGAGGTACTTGGCTCTAGAGGAGGGAGATGCCCAAGTTATGCTCGAGTATTTCATGCATGTCCAGAAAGAGAATCCTTATTTCTTCTATGCGCTTGATTTGAATGAAGACCAGCGTCTAAGAAATTTGTTCTGGGTTGATGCCAAAAGTAGGAAGGATTACACGAGCTTTAGCAATGTCGTTTCTTTTTATACCACTTATATTAAAAACACTTGAAATAATTGTGAGTAAAAGGAGATACTCAAATTAAGAGTAAAACCCCGTATATATAGGCAAAATATAAAAATCATAGTAAGGGTAAAAAAGGGAAAAGAAATCCTAAAGGGAAAAGAAATCCTAATAAACCTAGGAAAGATAAATCCTAATAAACCTAGACTATCTATACTCCAACAAAAACAATGAAAAAATGCCATTTGCTCTTTTCGTGGGCTTGAATCATCATTTTCAGCCCATGTTACTTGGATGTGCATTGGTTGCTGATGAGACTAAAGCAACACAAGTTTGGTTAATGAAGACATGGCTTAGAGCAATGGGTAGGCAAGCTCCTAAAGTGATAATCACTTATCAAGACAAAGCCTTGAAAGCAGCCGTTAAAGAAGTATTCCCAAATGCACATTATTGCTTTTCTCTTTGGCATACATTGGAGAGGATCCCTGAAACCCTTGCTCATGTAATCAAAGAGCACGATATTTCATAGGTAAATTCAACAAGTGCATTTTTAAGTCATTGACGGATGAACAATTGGACATGAGAAGGTGGAAGATGGTAAGCAGATTTGAACTTCAGGAGAATGAATGGACTCATTCGCTGTATGAAGATCGTAAAAGGTGGGTGTTACTTATATGAGGGATACTTTTGTGTCTGGGATGTCAACAACTCAGTGTTCTGAAAGTATAAACTCTTTCTTTGACAAATACATCCATAAGAAAATTACTTTGAAAGAGTTTCTTAGACAATATGGGACAATTCTCCAAAGTAGGTATGAGGAGGAAGCCATTGCAGACTTTGATACGTGGCACAAACAGCCTGCATTAAAATCTCCCTCACCTTGGGAAAAACAAATGTCAACTGTTTATACACATCGCTCGGTCAGCCCATTGTTAGAGAGAGAAGCTCTGTCTTCTCTCTAGAAATTTTCTCTTCATGAGTTCTTCACCAACNTATACACATCGCTCGGTCAGCCCATTGTTAGAGAGAGAAGCTCTGTCTTCTCTCTAGAAATTTTCTCTTCACGAGTTCTTCACCAACCAATTCCCAAATACCGCCAAAACCACCAGATTTGAATCCATACAACTCAAAAGAAACCTCCCCAACCTTTGCTTCATTGTTTAAACCTTCATTGAATTCTATAACTGATCTTCAACCTATTCCCAAGATTGAGAAGCCGTTTGTCTTTTATGAAGGAGAGCCTGCCTTCTACTTCACCAATGAAGAAATTCAAGCTTCTTGCCTCTCCTTGCAATATTCTCTCATTGGTAAATGTGCTTATGGAAGACCTTCATTAGGAGTAATCAATAAAGTGATCAGATCAAAGTGGAGTCTCAAGGAAGATTTTGAAGTTGGTTCTATCGATCCAAGACACATATTGATAAGGTTGCAGCTGCATGAGGATTACGTCAAAACTTGGATAAAGGATGCCACCTTGATTGAAGATTATCTATTTAGATTTTTCAAGTGATTCTCCGCATTTGTTCCGGGAATAGAGCCCTCTATTGTTCCAATGTGGGTGTCACTGCCGGGCCTTCCTTTAAATTTTTTCAAGAAACCGTTCTTGGAGCTATTGGTGAAGCCAATAGGCGGAGTTCTTGCCTATGACCAGGCTACTCTTTCCTTAGCCAGGCCAGGGGTGGCTAGGGTCTGTGTGGAAGTTAACTTGCTTGCTCAGAATCCTTCAAAAATATGGATTGATATGGGGGACANGTGGGTGTCACTGCCGGGCCTTCCTTTAAATTTTTTCAAGAAACCGTTCTTGGAGCTATTGGTGAAGCCAATAGGCAGAGTTCTTGCCTATGACCAGGCTACTCTTTCCTTAGCCAGGCCAGGGGTGGCTAGGGTTTGTGTGGAAGTTAACTTGCTTGCTCAGAATCCTTCAAAAATATGGATTGATATGGGGGACAAGGGTGCTAGATGGCAGAAAATAGTATATGAACGTAACAAAAAATTCTGTAAAAATTGTAGAAAGCAAGGCCATGGAGATGCAGAATGCAGGAAGAAGAAGACCACGGATTTGGAAACTGCTTCAGAAGGAAAGGACGCAGGATCTTTGCCATCCAAAATTGAGGTCAAGAATAAGGAAAGGATAGACCAGAGGCAGGGGAAGATTCCACAAGATTTGCAAGGNTAGTATATGAACGTAACAAAAAATTCTGTAAAAATTGTAGAAAGCAAGGCCATGGAGATGCAGAATGCAGGAAGAAGAAGACCACGGATTTGGAAACTGCTTCAGAAGGAAAGGACGCAGGATCTTTGCCATCCAAAATTGAGATCAAGAATAAGGAAAGGATAGACCAGAGGCAGGGGAAGATTCCACAAGATTTGCAAGAGACATCTAAGGGTCAGCAGACTAAAACAAATCAGAAGGTAGTTCAGCGGAATCCGGATTCTTCAAAACAGCACATCCCAGTCAATCAAGTAAATCAAGTGAAGAGTATTTGGATACAGCTAAATGGAGGAAAGAGGCCCATTAATTCGGGGATTCTAGAGGTAGATCATATGGCTAATAGTGAGGTCTCGTTTGGTAAGTCAACACTTTCCATAATTCCAAATAAGGAAAGCCAGCCCACAATTTTGGAAAGAGGGGATTTTTCGGGGAAGGAAAATACTGCTCAGCAGGAAAGATTGGTGGATGCTGCTCAGCATGAGTGTTTGATAGATAGAGCCCAGCATGGGTATTTGGTGGATAATGCCCAGCTGAATTCCTTGGCTGATGGTATTCAAGGAATGTAGCTCTCTAATTTTTAAGGTAATTCAGGAATTCGATCTCCCAGCCCAGACTTGAACGCGATTATCAATATTGATAGACCTTGCCGTGGTTCGCAAATGGAAGAATTGAAAGAAACCAGTGAAGAAGAGCAATGCTTGTTAAATGATCAGTGTCTACCATCTTCAAATTCCACTTTTTTCATTGACCATCAATTGCTGTTGGAAGAGACTCAAGTAACTCCTTGGATGATGAAATGGGTATGCACAAAGAAAAGGAACCCCCAGATAGAGGGTATTACACGGATGAGGAGTTATCAGATAGAATTTATGAATTAAATCCTTGTGATCTTAATTCAGATCCTAGTAGGGGTAATGATCTCACCCTCTCTCAAAATCCTCCTACGGGCATGATTACTAGATCAAAATCTAGCAGGGTCTCCTTTTCCATCCCTTTAAATGATTAGTACGATCATATGGAATGTTAGAGGTGCAAATTCAGAAGCCTCTAGGAGAAGATTAAAGAAGCTTATTTCCTTGAATGATGTATGTTTAGTTTCTATATTGGAACCCAAGTTAAATTCTGATAGATTGCCCAGTTTCTGCAGGAATTTGGGTTTCTCTGGATTTGTGGCCAATCCTCTTGCTGAGAGATATATTTGGGTTTTATGGGACCATCGTATGAGAGTGAAAGTGGTGGATATGCATGAACAATCTTTAACCGTAGAAGTATCTTTCATGGAAACTCAGCCTCTGCTGGTTTCTTTTATTTATGCTAAGTGTAATCACATCCAGAGAAGACTTCTTTGGGCTCATTTATCTAATATCCAAAGCTATCCAATGCCTTGGATGTTAGTAGGGGACTTCAACACTATCGTTTCTTCGTCCGAGCGCAAGGGAGGGGCTGCTCCTAGCCTGTCTATTATGAGTGAATTTTCTGCTTTTATTAATTCCATGGGATTGCAAGATTGTGGTTTTAGTGGCTCTAACTGCACTTGGTGTAACAAACACCGTGGAAGGACGCAAATGTGGCAACGTTTAGATAGAGCTCTTATTAATGTTGAGTGGGGGCAAAGATTTGCTAGTACACAGGTGGAGCATGCTGCTAAAGGCTCTTCAGATCATTGTCCATTGTTATTGCGGCTAACAGAGGTGGCTGAACCAAGAAGACAATCCTATTTTAAATTTCAAGACGTGTGGACTGATCATGCAGGCTTTCTTCAGCTGGTGGAATCTCAATGGCCTGGTAATTATTCAGCAAATCCTATTGAGAATGTGTTTTTGAAGTTGAAATATCTCAAGTTCCAGTTGAAAATATGGAATAAGAGAACATTTGGAAATCTTTTTGAGAATATTAAAGTGAAGGAGCTAAATTTACGACAAGCTGAGATGGTCTTGGAGAGGAACAATTCAGAGGCTAATCAATCTGCTTTGGAATTGGCAAATAAAGAATTGGAGGAAATCTTGAAAATGGAGGAAACTTATTGGAAGCAAAAAGCCAATATGAAATGGGCTATGGAGGGGGAGAGGAATACAAAGTTATACCATGCAGTTGCAAAGGGGAAGGGGAGTAGGAATGGAATTTTGAAAATTAAAAATGCAGAAGGTAATTGGTTGGATGATGAGAAAGAAATAGCGGATTGTGCAGTTAGTTTTTTCTCCAACCTCTATCAAACTGAATTTCATTCTCTAGAACAAGGGCTCTTTTCAGTCATTCCTTCTCTAGTCACTATGGAAGATAATGTGTGTTTAACAGCACCGGCTACCTTAGAGGAGCTGAAGGATATCATCTTCTCAATGTCTATTCAGAGTGCTCCGGGCCCTGATGGTTTCTCCGGGAAATTTTTCCAGGTATCCTGGCCTATCATTAAAGCTTGATCTTCCAGCTGCAGTGAATTATTTTTTACAGGGTGGTGTTGTTCCCAGATCAGTGAATGCTACTTTGTTAACTTTAATTCCTAAGAAGGAAGTTCCTATTTCTTTCTCGGACTTCAGGCCTATTAGCTTGTGTAATTTTCTGTAAAAGATCTTCACTAAATTGTTGGCAAAGAGACTTAGTGTTTTAAGGGCAGGGTCAAGCTACTCTATTTTGAGGATTTGTTGCAGAAATTTCAAGCTAGACTGGAAGGCTGGTATGCCAAGCTCTTATCTAATATGGGCAGGGTGGTTCTAATTCAATCGGTTCTAAATTCTATTCCTGTGCATCTACTTGCCATGTTAAATTTTCCCAAAGGTATTATTGCTAAACTCAATTCCATTATGGCTTCATTTCTATGGTCTGGTACACAAGATGTTCGCAAGAGGCACTGGTGCTCTTGGGACGATATCACTATGCCAAAGGAGGAGGGTGGACTTGGGATAAGGAGGTTTTCAGATGTGCAAAATGCCTTTAGAATGAAACAAGTGTGGCATCTTCTACAGGGTTCATCTCTTTGGTCTTCTTTTTTCTCCTCAAAATATTTTAAGAATCAACATCCACTTGAACAGCNCCTATTTCTTTCTCGGACTTCAGGCCTATTAGCTTGTGTAATTTTCTGTAAAAGATCTTCACTAAATTGTTGGCAAAGAGACTTAGTGTTTTAAGGGCAGGGTCAAGCTACTCTATTTTGAGGATTTGTTGCAGAAATTTCAAGCTAGACTGGAAGGCTGGTATGCCAAGCTCTTATCTAATATGGGCAGGGTGGTTCTAATTCAATCGGTTCTAAATTCTATTCCTGTGCATCTACTTGCCATGTTAAATTTTCCCAAAGGTATTATTGCTAAACTCAATTCCATTATGGCTTCATTTCTATGGTCTGGTACACAAGATGTTCGCAAGAGGCACTGGTGCTCTTGGGACGATATCACTATGCCAAAGGAGGAGGGTGGACTTGGGATAAGGAGGTTTTCGGATTTGCAAAATGCCTTTAGAATGAAACAAGTGTGGCATCTTCTACAGGGTTCATCTCTTTGGTCTTCTTTTTTCTCCTCAAAATAATTTAAGAATCAACATCCACTTGAACAGCTAACTGGCAGTCACTCCAGACTTTATAAAGCCTTGGTTCTGTGGATAGGAGTAGTAATCAACAACACCAAAAAATTGGTGGGATCAGGTCATACGGTGAACTTCTGGTGTGACAATTGGCTTGGATCAGGTCCATTAATATTAAGGAACACTAGGCAGCCTAGTCATTTTCCAATGTTATCAGATTTATTAATAAATGATAGTTGGTGCTTGCAAGGAGTCTCTCAATACCTAGATGGTAATCTACTGCAAGAAATTGTTTCTTCTTCTGTTTTGTTATCTACTAAAGAAGATAAGTTGATCTGGCAACTTACTCCTACTGGGAACTTTTCTTTAAAAACGGCTTGGAGTCTAGTTCGCACTTCTAGGCCAGTTCAGATGTCGTTTTATAATCTATGGACGCAAATTTCTCCTCCCAGTGCCATCTTGCATGGATGGAAGCTATGGAAGGACATTCTTCCTATGGATTCTACTTTTCAGAAGAGGGGTGTGGCTTTAGCTAGTAGGTGTGTATTGTGTGAGAAGGATGCAGAGTCACTGAATCATGTGTTTATTAGCTGCACTTCTGCCAAAGAAGTGTGGGGCTATGCTTCCAGATTTCTTGGTTTTCACTTGATTGAGAATGAAAGTCCTATTACAAGATTTTTGCGACTGATAAGAATATTCAAGCTCTCTTCACTTAGTCATGTGTTGACTAGCGGTATTCCTCTTCTAGTTTTCTGGCAATTATGGAAGGAAAGATGTAGGAGAATCTTTGAGAATCACAAACTTCGCTCTTATATCTTATTTAAAACTGTTTTACAGTTTTGCCGCATGCAAGTATATAATGTCAAACCAAAATCCATGGACTCAACATCAGGAAAAGCAATTCTTCTTTCCCTAAATCTTAATCCAGTTTCTCAGGTTACCATTAAAGTGAAATGGGTTTCTTGGCTTTATCCACCGGAAGGTAGATTGAAATTGAACATTGATGGTGCTTCTAAAGGAAATCCAGGTGAATCTGGGGGCGGGGTGATCATACGTAATCATTGGGGTCAGTTTGTTCTTGCAGGCTCTTATACCTATGGTAGATGCACAAATATGGAAGCAGAGATGCGTGCTTTACTGGATGGCCTTTCTCTAATCTATGATTATGGCATGGAGGTTTATGACTGGGAAATTGAGACAGATTCTCAGGTCTTATTGGACATGATTACCAAAAAATCTAATCCATCATGGCACTTATGGGCTCTTACAGATCAAATTTTTCCTCTTTTACAGTCTATGTTCTGTCGAATACAACATGTGTATAGGGAGGGGAATTCGGTGGCAGATGCTTTGGCTAACCAAGGGGTTATGGATCAATCTACTCGTTTATACTTGAATCAGGGTGAGCTGCCTATCTCTATCAGACTTCTTCTGCAACATGATCAGCGTGAGATTAAGGCAATTCGTAAGAGGTTCTCTACCTCTTCCTAGACTATCTTAATTTTCTCTTCCTACCCTGAATCAATACCTCTTGTATTATTGGGATAGCATTTGGGATCTGACCTTGTTTCATTCTGCTCTGCTTCTACGTTTGGAACTCTGCAAGGATGGCCTTGGTCTCTGGAATTTTTGGATTAATCACAGGAGGCTTCTGCTATTCTGTGGGTATGAGGAGGAGATTTTCTATTCTGTGGTTGTGGGGATTTGCACTTTCTATTCTGTGGCTCTAGCTGGACTCTCATGCTTCTCTGAGGATCTTCTTGAATCTGCCTTTAGCTTGTATTTAATGCAGGCTCAGTTCTACTACTGGCTAAGCTTCTTCTTCCCAGCTCAGAGACTCCCCCAGCTCAATGGCAGGTGCAGCCTCTTAGCTCCTCCATCAGCTCATTCAAGGCCTACGTTCTTCAGCAGTGGATAATATTTTGGATGATGCAGCTGACCACTTTTTGCTGAATTTATGCTATAGCTGGACTGTTCACGTCACTATTCACTTGACTGTTCAGCTCAGCATTTTTTCAGTAGTGGGTTTCAACTTCTAGGAAATTATGATTTCTAGAATAGTAATTCAATGTATTATCATGCATTAGAATTTTTTAATTCCTTATTGCACTGTAATTAGATTACATTGAGGGGTAAGTTACATAAGTCCCTCCCTAACTAGGAGTAATTTGATTTTTAATAAAAATAATCTTCTTCGCACTGTCGAGGTTCCAAAAAAAAAAAGAAAACTGTTTATACACATGCAATCTTCAAGAAATTCCAAGTTGAGGATTTGGGCGTAGTGGGCGCCATCCTAAAAAGGAAAGTGAAGATGGGCCAAATATAACATTTAGAGTTGATGACAGTAAGAAAGGTGACAACTTTGTCGTCTCACGGAACGAGGCAAAGTCAGAGGTTTTTTGTTCATGTCTTCTATTTGAATACAAAGGTTTTCTTTGTAGACATGCAATGATTGTTCTCCAAATGTGTGGTCTTTCAAGCATCCCATCTAAGTATATTTTGAAGAGGTGGACAAAAGCTGCAAAGAGCAGGCAATCGACAGTAGAAGGAACAGCACGAATACAAACTAGGGTTCAAAGATTTATGTACACGTGCCATTAAATTGGGTAAGGAAGGATCCTTATCAGAGGAGGGTCACAATATTGCATTTCGTGCAATAGTTGAAGCTCAGAAGAATTGTGTGAAAGTCAACAATAGAAGTGCTTCAGAATCTAACAGCAATGCTCTTTGTCTTCGTGACTTAGAAGAAGAGAACCAGGCAGTTCTTGCTATTAAAACAAGTAAGAAGAAAAGCGCAAGCAAGAAAAGAAAGGTTAGTGGTGCAATTAGTTGTTGGTGTCGACAAATTAGTTTTCACACTTATTGTGCAGTTTAATTGGTTTCAGGTACAATCCGATCCAGAAGCTTTGATCGTTGAGACTCAAGGCAGCTTGCAGCAAATGGTTTGTTCTACTGCCAATCCTAGTTAAGTTTCTATTGGAATGTTTTGTGATGTGAAGTGCTTTTAACTATAACATAAGGATGGCATTTCGATAGCCACCAAGTTACACTCACTTTGTATTCCATGTTTCTGACTGTGTTTCTTTAAATTAGTGAAAGCCTGTGGTAAATGGTGTTATACTCAGTTCGGACCATTAAGGATTGAGAAAGGTAAAAACTACAACTATAGTGTTTAGAAATCATATCCCAGTTTCGATTTTCTTGCTTATAGGGGAATCTCAACTCAGATGAAATGACACTAAATGGCTATTATGAGTCTCAGCAGAATGTGCAGGGCTTGGTACAGTGTTTTATATTTCTGGACAATTGTGTACTTGCCACATATTGTCTGGTATAGTATTTGATTATCTTAATCCAAAATGTACTTTCAGAGAGATTTGGTATAAAATTTCTGAAATATTACTTCCAATTTATGTAGGGACTTTTGGATTTTAGACCACAAGGTTTCAGTTACAGAATGCAGGTCAGTCTGTGAGAGATATCGCAATTATATTGTTAGATTGGAGGAATTACACTTTTGCATGCATGGACTTCTTATTTTAATCTTTTTGCCCTAATTTCAGGAAGACTCTAATTTGAGACCTAGTTAGTTGCACGACAACACTACTAGACATGCATGAGGAAGAAAGAGCTAGCTCTCCAGAATGCATTAATATCCATAATCACCTCTTGAAGGTGATTTACATTTTGCCTTGGGCAAAATGCTATTAAACAGAAAAGGAGATTAATGAAGTGTTTCTGAGATCTCCCGCTGCTAGATTTTTGGAGGACTAACAGAATTGTACTCTGTTTACAGTTTACACCAAACTTGATACTGCTGGCTATATGCTCTCCTTCTTTATCTGAAGCAACACATCTGCAGTTGTGATTGCTACACAGCAGGAGATTTCTGGATTTTCTAAGGGAATGCGGTCTGCAAAAACTAAGCCTAAGCTATTGTAAACATCAGGACTGATGAGGTAAATGAGTAGATGCATTCAGTACTATTTGTTGATGATGTTAGAGCTACAGCAAACCTTCTTTCTATTGCAAGCTTCTTCGAAACTTGGTAAAGACTCCTAAATAGCAGATTTTGAAATCCCTATGGTGTAATGGTGCAGAGTTTGTTCAATTCAGATTTCTCTTTCCCTGCTTTTATTATTGGACCCCATTCGAAATTTTTTATTTTCTTCTTTTATTAATCTTTCATTGGCATATTGAAAACTCCGAAATAAGTACTCTAGAAATGTTGTGTTGTAATGTAAAGAGCCCGGAAGACCTCATCATTTGTTTATATACGGCAGAGTCCATATTTTACTTGTTTGTAGGGAAACAAAAGTTCCTCTTTCTGCCCTTTTATCCCCCCTCCCCCGGGTGGGAGTGGGTGATGAACAATGTCACACTTTCCAAAACTCTTTATCAATTTTACTATATGAAATCAATGTGGATGGTTGGTTTAGTGAGTCTTACTAACTTTCACTAGCCGCCGATGGCTATGGTTACACAATATTACTTGTGGTTAGAAAATTGAACAGATTTTAAAAACTGTTTGAAAAGAGAACTGTAATATTTAAAAAAGTTTTTAGTAAATGAAATATTTAAAAAATCGCTAAATTGTATCTGTTCACAAAATATTTACACAAAAAAAGACTTATATACAGAAGATTTAACTTCTTCACAAATAAGTAGTGCATAGTGTATTTTTTCACAATTTTTCCTTTTTTGTTTGTTCTAACCACACCTACATATTTTGGAGTCTTCCATAAGGGTGAGACCTGAAGCAAAGGCTTTGTTGGACTTGCTGTTGGCCCGGCCCTGACCATATGCCAAACATTTTCCGACATAGACCCACGTGCCTAGTCACGTGTCATCTCCTCCACAGAAATGAAGGGTTATGATAATCAAAATAACCCAAAAAGTCTTGTCTTTGACTCGGAATTGTGTTGTCTGTCATCAAAATCTATAATTTACTTATAAATGTGCATCTATAAAAAAATTTTAATTTTTGATTTAATTCTTAATTATTATTTTAAAGTTAATTATATCAATTTATTTACTTTCATCCAATTTGTAATGTTTTTTATATCTTTTAGACTTCTAAGTTCTTTTAGACCTTTATTATCAGTAGTATTTGACTTCTAAATTTTTTTTTTACTCATTTATTGGTAATACACTTTCATATAATTTCTATATCTATATCTATTTATGTAAAAAAATAAAATTCAATCTATATAATATTATTATATACATGTTGGCAAATAAAATTTTACTGTCAAATATATTTCACATTTAATTTTTTTTATGCAACAATATCAGAATATTATAATACAAACAATAGTTTACAATTTAATCAATCTCTTTGACAATAAAATATAAAAATACATATAGATATATAAATACTCAAAAATGACAATTTTACAATAAAATTTCACTATAAACAAAAGAGAAAAAATGTTTAAAGAAGTCAAGAGATACCTATTAAATTAATACATTAAGTACTCAAAGAAGAGTAAAGTAAATTAATAATTGGGTTTAGTAATAATTAATATAAAATTTAATTATTCAGCACTTAATTTATTATTCAAATAGATTACAAATATAAGTTAAACTATAAAATTATTATTTAAATATATTAATGTGCAACGCACATTGTGGTGTCATGCCCCATCCCGGTCTTCCAAGGATAAGACGTAACTAGGTTTTTGATACACTTGTATACATTTATAACTTGGATTAATAAAATACCAAATAATCTCATAGGTGCAACATCACCACTTATAACTTTAGACATTAAACATGATGGTAATACTTGACTCATAATCTGTACCATATATAACACATGTACCATTTGTTTGTTTTCCAGGTTATAAGCATATACACAATCCCACACTCACATAACATACATCACAAAGTATGTTTGTTCAGTCTGTTTATAATTATACATCATTAACCTGCTATAACTATCTCTCACTCAATATAATATACAGTCCATCAAATAATTATACAGACACTCAACCTGTATCACTCAACTCATTAAAACTAAATACATAATTAACGGACATACTCAATCGACTGGACAGTGAATTGATCTGTAACTCCTTCTATAGTACCTGAAAAGGAGAACCTATAAGGATGTGAGCTAAATCACGCGCTCAGTGAGTATACATATTGTGTATGAAATGAAAATGATAGTAATACACAGAAATAGGTAGATATTACGTAGATACACGTATCAAACAACAACATCAATACAATTTCAAAGAATTTACAAGTCACAATACATCCATACCACCCTTCATCGGGTAGTCGATCCCACATGAATCCGTGTCTCCCGAACCTCTCGAGAACACCATAGTACTAACACACAACTACACGCCCAGTGATCAGGCATTGACGCTCCTGTCTCAAACATTGTGTCATATTCTACAATACACAATACACAATATATAATACAAAACATCATTCAATTACATAAACATATAACATATAATCCTGGAAAAATGCTATTAAATTCTATCATTACTATCATCTTATAATAACATTTTCAAAGCATATAAAAATATACACTCACCTCAAGTGTACAGATTTATGACCCTTCAGACTCACCGGTGGATCCCTTCGGTGTTACTGTATCTGTCTTAACATCGACTATCCTACATGTTCCATCTAACACATTTATAATTACAATATCAATATGATTAGCACATTGAATAATTAATTATGGACTAATGTATGCAAGATGATTCAACCCAAAGTGCCTCAATAGCCCCGATAGCCCCAATTTTCGCATTGTTCAGTCATACACTGGCACATTAGCTTTAGGAATCACATTTTCTCTCCAAATCTCCAAAATCGCTTACATTAATCACAATTAAGATTAAATAGGTCAAACACATTTACCGGGGGGCATTTTCACACATTTCGACCATGAATTCTAAAAATTGCATTTCTGGCATTTCATACATTTCACATCGGATATTATATTCATTTGCATTTGAAATTTACATTATTACATCAAGCATCATTTAAAAATGCAACATACAAAATTTCAGGTCATTTGCATTAAAATTCACACATGTGATAATAACGTATATAAATCAGGGTTTCGGTATTATCGACACACATTTCCAACCTTTATCAACCCATTTCCACTCAAACTCACACACATATTTAATCGTGCAAAACAGTCTCTTTATTGAACCCTTTAACCTCCTATTTCACTCTCATACTTTCGATTTCAATCTAGCCCGCGAAAAGCATACCGAACATCTTAAATAGTCATTTTTCACATTTTTCTCACCCTCGGTTTAATACCCACTTAAATTCCTTTCTTAACAGCCTTTAATTATATTTAACACACTTAAATAAACCCACACAAAACCTGTTTTAAAATTAAACTAAAACAGCCCACACAAATACACACATACTTAAAATTAACCACACACACACACACCCTTACCTTCTTCTTGCTTTCTTCTTCTTTTTCCCCACCTTCTTCTTGCCTTCTTTCACTCTTGGTCCGGCATGAAAGCTCCCTTCCCCCCCCCCCTTTCTTCTCCCTTTCGGTTTGAGCTAGAAATCCACCAAAACTTAATTTTTTTCTCTCATTTTCTCTTTCCTTGCCCTCGGCTTAACAAACACTCACACATATTTATTTTTCTTCTCTCACTCATAGTTTCAACAAACCAAAACACACACACACTTCTACACTTTATATTGCACACACACACTCTCTATACTTTAAACACATACACATACGACACACACACACACTTGGCCTTTAAAGATGACTCACCCATTTAATAATTACACTTGCCTCCCCTAAAGTTTTTAAGTGATTTCAAAATCAAACTACTCTTATTTTCACACATTCAATTTCTCTAAATAGGTCTCACTAATACGTCACTAACGCGTTCCACATACTTGATGTATGCTCACACACATCATGACTATAAAGGGTTTATTTAAATTAACCCTTAAGTATTTTCACATAATTATAATTTAGCCCACATAATTATGCTAATATGCATGCAATGCATGATCGGGTCTCACACGAGGTTTGTTAGTTATATAAATACCATGACTCAGTGCTTTTGCTCCTCTCTTCACACCAAATACTTGACCATTGTCTTCTATGGCTACCAGTGAAAACATGNGCTAATATGCATGCAATGCATGATCGGGTCTCACACGAGGTTTGTTAGTTATATAAATACCATGACCCAATGCTTTTGCTCCTCTCTTCACACCAAATACTTGACCATAGTCTTCTATGGCTACTAGTGAAAACATATCTTGTCCCACGGGCTGGATGCAAGTCTACCACCACAACTTTCCTGGTTACCATGAATCCCAAACTACCCTGGCCACTATATTTAATTGTCGAGTTTTCGAAGCCACCGCCGCAACCACCACTCTCACATCTCCCCCCACCCTGTTCGAAGGCGGTTGAGTGTTTCTAGGCGAACCCCAACCACCCTACTCAACATGGACACGACCAATTTTAGAGTCGTGGTGCAACAATTCACAGGTGGTCCAAGAGCACCGTTCGTCTCCGGTTCTCAATATTCGATTTCTAGCGGAACCAACTTTAACTTCAAACTCAAAAATTGTCACCAGATTATAAACCCTACTGCAACCATGGTTCCTTCAGCATATCATCTTCAATTTCAGCAACATCAAAACTACATGTTCTCTCTGAATGATAGTCAAAGGGATCACGATGCCTTTGGCCATAGACTTAACAACTCCAAAAGGAGCAAACTTGAAATGGAGGTCTATGATGGGCCTAGGGCTTCTTCCTCGAATGAGAACTAGAATGACAACAATTACATGCCTTGAGAAGAACAATTACATGCTTTGAGAAGGACGTGAAAGCGAAAGTTAGGTATGGACAGCAACGGAGCCAGGAATCCGAATAAGAGAGGAATATAACTAAAAATAATTCATTAATTGATATTAAAAAAAAGGAGGACAATTACTTGAACTTGTGGCGNTTGAGAAGAACAATTACATGCTTTGAGAAGGACGTGAAAGCGAAAGTTAGGTATGGACAGCAACGGAGCCAGGAATCCGAATAAGAGAGGAATATAACTGAAAATAATTCATTAATTGATATTAAAAAAAAGGAGGACAATTACTTGAACTTGTGGCGAACTGCAGGTCGAGATGTTTCCAAAGCAATTGGGTCATCTCACATCATGCCATAATAATGTTGATCTCAAAACACAAGCCCAAATAAACAACTCAAATTGCTATGATGAAATTCAACATTTTACAATCCTTTTTTTTTTTTTTTTGAAAACATGTTACAATCCAATTACTTGTGCTACAAAACTAAGGAAAACAACCCAAAAAAAATTATGATTGAATTTTTGCTAGTTCAATTTAATAAAAAGAAATTGTAAAAACACAATTATACGCACTTGTAGAAGATTTTGTTGAGAGGATCATATTGGAACTGTGAGATGTCAAAGGCATCAATTATACGGAGCGTAGATACCTGGGTATCACTACTATGAGTTCTTTCCATTGCAGCAACCACTTCAATTTCCCATAGAAGGCTCACCATTTGATGAACAAGTTCTTTGTCCAATATTGAAGCTTTCACTGCCAACAATCACAATTCTACAATAAGTAAGATACATTGTAAGAGATGAACCAATAATTGGGGAAGTTATAAATCATATAATGATACGAGATTGGTGCTGAAGCTCGTCGAGGTGGAGATCTAGGGCTTCATCTTTGGCATCTTGGAAGTGGTTGAGGAAAGAGAGGATCTTGGTTAGGGCTTTGACCTTGATGGTGTAACCTCTCGTCTTAAACTTCTTTTGTACCTTGTTCCTCACATCGACTATATCTGGTTCACACATCCACCCCAATCATCAAATCCATTGTCCGCATTTACACAACACCCACTTTAGGAATCAGAATTGAAGAAACCTTCCTAGGAATAATATATTTATTAACCCTCTGCCTCAATCCACGTGANAAGATCTTGGTTAGGGCTTTGACCTTGATAGTGTAACCTCTCGTCTTAAACTTCTTTTGTACCTTGTTCCTCACATTGACTATATCTGGTTCACACATCCACCCCAATCATCAAATCCATTGTCCGCATTTACACAACACCCACTTTAGGAATCAGAATTGAAGAAACCTTCCTAGGAATAATATATTTATTAACCCTCTGCCTCAATCCACGTGAGTGAATAGTGTGAATTCTTGAACCCTCGCAATGACTCAAGTAACATTACTACGAGTGATAGAGAACCTTTAAACCCCTCAAGTGAAAAAACTTGTCTAAACATTCTATAATATCTGGTCGAGTGCAACCCATGTTCATCACGCATATCCATACAAGAGAAAATAATAACACTTTTTTTTTCATAAAATCCACGAATACCACAATTCATAATTCCAAAATTCTCAAAATAGAATAGTAATCTAATCAAAACATGCAAGAGATCATAAAAAAGATATATCCAAGTTGAGAATAATCAAGAACTAAGANTCGTCTAAACATTCTATAATATCTGGTCAAGTGCAACCCATGTTCATCACGCATATCCATACAAGAGAAAATAATAACACTTTTTTTCATAAAATCCACGAATACCACAATTCATAATTCCAAAATTCTCAAAATAGAATAGTAATCTAATCAAAACATGCAAGAGATCATAAAAAAGATATATCCAAGTTGAGAATAATCAAGAACTAAGATTTTTGAATCAAGAACGAGTAAATCTTGGATGTAAATCATATATTTTATTCAAAAACGATTCATAAGATTGAAAAGAAATCAAAATCTTTGTTATCTATAATATATTTAAGATTTAGAATCAAAAGTGTATATACATAATAAACTCTAATCTCAATGAGTAAGAATTGGGAAATAAACCCTACCTTAATCCACAGTTATCTAATCTTAATGCATTTGATGTAATTCCTACATGTTAATCCATGAGAATTTCACTTTTTTCTTCTCTCCCAAATCCTCTGGGCTTCCTAGGGTTGAAAAATAGGTAAAATAGTCTCAAAACCCTCCTAGGGTATTTGTAGGGTGAAAAGACAGTTCAAGTGTGGATTTGATCGGGCAAAATCACGCATTTGTTTTTGAATGGAGGGATTTGTGTCCAAACACATCATCATGCATTCAAATGCAAAATCTTGCATTTGAATGGAAATGCTCCTAGTATCTCCTGCTTCTAATGGTTTTCTGCCCTGATTCCTAGATTCTGAAACCTAACTCAATCTTTCAACCTCATCTTGACCTAATTAAAAGTCGATTCATGAAATTTCTATGGAATAGATTTTTGTAGATCTTAAAGTATATTTTCTAATTCCACAACATTCAGATCAATTGGAGTTCGTAGTACAAAGTTATGGCCTACGCACTGAAGTAGTGTCAAAATCTTTCTTACCAGGATTTGCCAAAAATATGTGTTTCAAAATCACCTATCCCAAGGTTTTTTAACGCTCTGAATCCAATTTTGATATTATTTTCATCTAAATACGTTTAGTTTCTCACTAACTTCATTTCCCTAGAAGTGATTACCCCTAAACCTCAACTTTCTCAATATATTTCAACGATTTTTACAATCACCATTTACATAGTTTATTCATCCTTAATTCATTATAAATCAACACAATATATAATCATCTAATATAAATCAAAAAAAATACATGGGGCTTACACATACAAAACATATAGAGCTGGATTTCCATTATGTACGCGGGAAGGTTGCTCTAGGTACTCTCACTACTTGGATCAAATCACGAATATCTTCACCAAGCCCTTGTCTAAAGGGAAGTTCATTCCACTACGAATCAAACTTGGCCTTTGTTCCCGGTCTAGTTTGAGGGGAAGTAATAGTGATGGACCTAATACTTCAAGTGATCCACTTGATGCACATGATGATCACGCCTCAAGAACTTAGCAAATAAAGAAACACCCATCAAATGCATAATCAGGAGACGCAAGAGTGTTTGTTTCACGGGATAATTGGGGTTAAATGGGTTGGATTGGGGATAAATAATCGGGGTCCTCACATATCCTTTATTTGGTTGGAAAATAAAAGAATGAGATAATACAAGTAATAATTGAATTCCCCAGCCATAGTGAACAGTTGACTTAAACCTTTCTAATCTGGATAATTTTGACTCATGGTTGAAATGGGATAAATGGGTGAGTTTTTCCTTGCAGGTAGGATATGGTCCAAATTTACCATAGTGCCCCCCAAAAGTAGATTTTTATTGTTTTTATAACTAGGAAGTAAAGTTCTAATATAACTAGGAAAATAAAAATAAAATAAAGTTCATTGGAATTTTCGTGCACCAGATTTCAGAATATAAATAGCACTTGAACAGTGCACTAGTTGTAACTTCATGCCCGATTTTGACCTTGATTAAGCCAATATCTCTCAAAATGCAAAACATGAAAGTTGTAGAGCATTTTCTTAGCGTTCCACAACATCTTGAAGCATCTCAATCGAAGCTGGGATGAGAGAGTTATGCCCAGATAACGAAGCGATGTCGAAACTGTCAAATTAGCTTCGTTTTACATTTAACGTCTCCATTTACATCCTAAATCAAAATATAAGAATAATGAGTACATTTAGGCTCCAAATAAGTATAAAATATGAAATATTAAAAGAAAAAAATATGATATTTTGCATTCTCATCAAATTCCCCCACATTTAACTTTTGCTCATCCTCAGGCAAAACTCAAATTTACTTTCCCAAAAACACCAAAGTTGCAACACCATTAACAAAGAACAACCAAGCTCTTCAAAACTCATAATATATCATGAACAAACATCCTTAAACAACTTACAATTACTTAGTAAGCATTTTCATTCGAAGATGGAGTAAACTAAATACGTAGACCCTCATGGAAATAAACACTCGACTCTCATGTGTTTGAAGGGTATGTGTTTCGCTCAAATTCATTTTAATGAAAATAATCTACCATAGGCTTGCATATCTTCTCATTCTCCACCACTAAGATCACATGCATAACACGAATCATAAGAGCTTTTCAAGGGCTGTAACAGGGTTTAGGATCAAGGTAGGAAATAGTTGGGAGTGTAGCTCAAAAGCCATCGAAACTAGTGGAGAAAAAATGAATCAACTCACGCTCAAATATATAAGATATGCAAAACCAATCACTCCATTTAGCAACTTCTTCGATTTGGCTTTAAAGCATTTAAACCATATAAAATTCTTGCATTGAAAAAGAGATTGTTCAAAAGGAACACTTTTCGTTTGCAGCAGGAAACGATTCTTTGCAAAAGTTTCCACCTTTTCATATATCACGTATAAGCCGGCCCCTTTCTTAGAATTTTAAGAGGAGTTATGAACATGGACATATTGTAACATTAAAAGCAATTTCTCCCATTACTTCCTTTCTTTCTTTCTTTCTTTTTTTTTCTCTTTTTTTTCAGCACTATAATTACATCAACAATGGAACTCACGAGTTGAGAATGAGAACTTGTTCCATTTCACAAGTCATAGTCATACCACTAATCTAGACACCCCCATACTAAAAAGTTGCACACCCATACATATCATAATAATGAAAAATGCTCCACTAACTTTATGGCTTGGGTAAAGGCATTGTTTTTCGGGTTTAAAGTTTGTAANGTCATACCACTAATCTAGACACCCCCATACTAAAAAGTTGCACACCCATACATATCATAATAATGAAAAATGTTCCACTAACTTTATGGCTTGGGTAAAGGCATTGTTTTTCGGGTTTAAAGTTTGTAACGTGGGTTCATAATAAACGACAAAAAATAGTAACGCTTAAA